CATGGCCACAAAGGCATTGAATCATTACTTTCATATGTAACGCTTGTAATTTTGTAAAAATTATTATTGGTAGGAAAGTATCACTCACAAAAGATAGATGGCGGTGCCAAATAAATATGTAAAGTACATGCAATTACACACAAAAGCATGGCCACAAAGGCATTGAATCATTACTTTCATATGTAACGCTTGTAATTTTGTAAAAATTATTATTGGTAGGAAAGTATCACTCACAAAAGATAGATGGCGGTGCCAAATAAATATGTAAAGTACATGCAATTACACACAAAAGCATGGCCACAAAGGCATTGAATCATTACTTTCATATGTAACGCTTGTAATTTTGTAAAAATTATTATTGGTAGGAAAGTATCACTCACAAAAGATAGATGGCGGTGCCAAATAAATATGTAAAGTACATGCAATTACACACAAAAGCATGGCCACAAAGGCATTGAATCATTACTTTCATATGTAACGCTTGTATTTTTGTAATAATTATTATTGAACTATTATCTAATAAATATTACTCACAAAAGATAAAATAAAATATTTTATTTAATTTGGTGATGCCATACAAACAATTTTTTACATATAAAAAATGGAATAATGTTATACATAATAAATTTAAATTTTAAATTATTTTTTTTAGAGACAAAATATTTTAGTTGTCAAAATGTCATTATAGCTAAAAGTCTTATTTTTTTAATTTTTATTTTTTGAAACAGCCTTTTAAGCTAAGATCCTACGACAAGAAGAATAAATCTCCAAATAATTTTTGCAACAAAATTTTTTCAGAAACAAAAAAAAAATTATTCTTTAAAAGTCTTGTTTATTGTAGTGACAGTTTCATAATTAAACTAGAATTATTTATAATTAATTAACAACGCATAGTTTCCTAACTTCATTCACCACATTTTTTTTACAACAAAACAAAGTCTTATACTTATAAAATTTTAAGTGATATTAATTGTAATTATTAAAAAATTTATTTTATTGTCATTTAATATATTTAATTTTAAATATTGAATTGAGTTATCAAACACCGCTATAGTGGTTCTAAGGTTGGCAGATTGCTATGAATCGACTAGCTTATTTGTCATGTGATATTTAAATATGTTATTTATTTATATAATAGAAACATCATTTTTATATTAATGTTTTATTCAATAATATAAAAATAAAAATTAGTGATTGATGGGATAATGGCATATCCTATGAAGTATAGATATCAAGACAATATGATACGATGGTACAATAAAATAAAATATGGATATGATTAAGATATATATTTTATAAAAAAACTTACTTTTAGTATTATATTATACACGAGCTTAAAGAACGGTGAAAAATCATTCTTTAAGAGTTGCCAAAGGGTATATCGGCTAAGCAAAGCAATTTTTCTTCATATTTAAAAATAAAATAAAATACACACTCAATTTTATTCAAAATTAAATTTGATGGACAAAATTAGCTTTAAATTTACACTCTGTACTTTAATTTTTGATAAAATATTTTAATTAATTAAATTTTTTTTAGGTAAGTAGAAATTATGAGAGAATAGAGGGTGAGTTGGCAATAGGGTGTAATTGCATGGGATAGCCAGGTGGGCCACAATCATAAAAGTGGGACGCAAACATGGACAAAATTAGCTATACGTTTTTTGTTTCGAAGCCAGTAACGGCATTTCATCTTATGATTGTATTTTGTGCTCTTCTTTCCTCCTAACACCAAACAGAATCATCCCTCTCCCCATCCCCAACAAACAAAAAAAAAAAATTATTATATGGGTCAAAGAGAATACCTAATTATGTGTCTGTCCAATGATATTTAGGTTGTTTTGAGAAGTGTTAAAAAAAAATAAGTTTATGGACTTATTTGAATTACATTATTTTTATATTTTTTACTTTTTTTTTTGTTATAAATAAAAAATCAATTTTTTAACACTTTTCAAAACAACTTTTAGTTATTTCTCTATTATTTTTTTTGATTTTAAAGTTGTATAATTATTTAGACTCTTATTATTAATTGAAAGTATTGTCAATAATTTTTTGTTTTAAAAATAGAAAATAATTTCTTGTCTCCATCTCTCTCTTCTACCACCACACTAACACCTTCCATCGCCACCACTCCCTTTTTAAACGCCTCCTCACCCCCTCTCTTCCCCTTGTAAGTCTCTCTCTGTCTCTCTACTTCCTTATCTCTTTGTATCGGTCTCTTTCTCTTACTAGCTAGTAGCCACCATGTCTGACCTGGGTGGTGGACATCAGAACTTCTTTTGGGAGACTCAGTCATGGGCTTTTTCGAATTCAGATGATTTGGGTTGTATCGATGAAAAATCTGGTGGGAAGCCGCCATCTGATTCGGGGTCTAATACTCAGACACCAACCGGAAAACAAGTGGAGGAGGTGATAGCGGTGGCACTCGGAAAGAAACGAGGCGGGGTTGGTAAGAATGGAAAAGGGTGTGGTGGTGAGGCCAATGAAGGAAAAGGTGGTGAGTCAGATCATGAGACACATATATGGAGAGAGAGAGAAAGAAGGAAGAAGATGAGGAACATGTTCTCTAATCTTCATGCTTTGCTCCCTCATCTCCTTCCCAAGGTAATTCATTCACATCTTCTTCAAGATTGAGATTGATGTGTACATATGGAATGATAATTAAGTAGTTGTTCATGCCAGGTTATTCTATCTTGAAAAAGTTTAGAAATATAAAAACCGATAAAAGAGTTAGACACTACTTATAAAAATCGTCCAATTTTATGATTAATTTTGGTGTTTTCCCACCTTTTTGTTCGAGTCTCTCTCCCATCTATTTCTCAAAGTTAATTTATTAAGGCAAATCATTTTTTACATACAAAGCTTTCAAGTTTTTCAATTTGTTTCCTTTAAAGGGAAATTAATGAGAAAGATATAAGAGAGTAGTCCTTTTCATCAATGTGATAATATTTGAGGATGTCCTTTTCATCAAGTCTATATTTAAGGTTGTCATGGGGTGATGGGACACTTATTCAATGAAAAATCAATTATTCATTACTATCAATCATTAAAATGCTATTAGTGAAGTTATGTATTCATTAAGTTATGGGTTTTTTGGGAGGGAGGGGGGGTAAAGTTCAACTGAATGTTCCCATTAATCCTTTCGAGTAACTTCATAAACCTCATCAATTTCCGTTTGTTTCTTAATGTGGATGGCCTACGACTTTATGAAAAACTAATTACAAGATCAAACACAAACTTTTAACGCAGTTAATGTAAAAGAAATGTATCTGATTATGTTATTAATTTCTATGCATATGTAGAGAAATTGATAACTTAATATTCCTCTCACAACACAAAGTTTCAATTAACTGGTATTTATTAGAACACCGATAACTGGTGGATTTTGTTCACTTTATTAAAAAGGAAGTGCATGTGTATGTTAGTCTTACAAAAATGGTTTAATGCGATTATATATGACTCTCCCAAAGTAAAAAAGAAATTTTGGGATAAGCACATGAGTCTTAGACATAACGCATATCATGTACTTAGAAAATTTTCAAAATTTGAATGAGATACATTTAAATTTGGTGCTTTGACCATACTCAAAAACTAAATTATACATTTTTTATTCTAACATTTTTATTGTGATATAAGAAGAGGGTCATTAGGGCCTAGTTCAAACAAAAAATAATATACAAACAAAATATTTATATAAAAAGTTCATTCAAAATTGTGTAATATTAGTATTTTTTTTTAAATTAAATGCTTAACTGATGGGCATTTGATTTCAAAAAATGATGAAACTACAATTACCCACATCCATTTTGTTTGAATTTTGCCTTCTCATCAACCATATGATAGTTCACATTGAATATTTGTACAGGCAGACAAGTCCACAATTGTGGATGAAGCAGTGACCCACATAAAATCCCTACAACAAACTCTCCAAAAGCTCCAAAGGCAGAAGCTGGAAAGGCTCCATGGCTTGACACCCATGAACTTCGATGGTCAATCGTCCATAATCACCCCACAAAAGCTTCCCATGGACTCGAGGGAGGCCTTCATGGCCGATCAAGTTTCTTCAAACAACACAAACTCAAACTCATCCAATGCACTGCCAGTGTCTCTCTCTCGGTTCCCTCCTCTTTTCCAGACTTGGACTTCTCCGAATGTGATCTTGAATGTGTGCGATGATCATGCACAGAACAGCGTGTGCTCGATGAAGAAGGCTGGACTTTTCACTGCTATCTGCTATGTGTTGGAGAAGCACAAGCTGGATGTTGTGTCTGCTCGTGTTTCATCGGATCAGAATCGGACCATGTACATGATTCAAGCCCACGTAAGTCTCCTCTAACTTACTTCCTTGCACATTAGAGAGGATTGTTACAAGCTATCACTTTCTCTACTTACTGTTGTTAGATGAATCTAAAAATTAAAAACTTTTCATATTCCTGAACAGGCCTTTTATTTGGTAGGTAACATCGATGAAGCCATCGTGAAGGCTATGAACTTAGAAATGGAGAGCAATTTGAAGAAATGACCTTAAATCTTTCTGTATTGACTCCTAATCAAATTATTTGGGATTCTAAAGTGAAAGAAATCATTTTATCTCCTAATAGTGGCCAAATTGGCATATTACCAAATTAAGGCCATATTGCCACAGCTGTAGATATAGGTATTTTGAGAATACGCCTTAACGATCAATGGTTAACGATGGCTCTGATGGGTGGTTTTGCTAGAATAGGCAATAATGAGATCACTGTTTTAGTAAATGATGCGGAGAAGAGTAGTGACATTGATCCACAAGAAGCTCAGCAAACTATTGAAATAGTAGAAGCTAATTTGAAGAAAGCGGAAGGTAAGTGACAAATAATTGAGGCAAATGTAGCTCTTAGACGAGCTAGGACACGAGTCGAAGCTATCAATGTGATAAAGTTTTTAATTTTTAGATTCATCCAACAACAGTAAGTAGAGAAAGTGATACCTTGTAACAACCTCTCTAATGTGCAAGGAAGTAAGTTAGAGGAGACTTACATGGGCTTGAATCATGTACATGGTCCGATTCTGATCTAATGAAACATGAGCAGACACAACATCCAGCTTGTGCTTCTCCAACAAATAGCAGATAGCAGTGAAGAGTCCAGCCTTCTTCATCGAGCACACGCTATTCTGTGCATGATCACCGCACACATTCAAGATCACATTTGGAGAAGTCCAAGTCTGGAATAGAGGAGGGAACCGAGAGAGAGACACTGGCAGTGCATTGGATGAGTTTGAGTTTGTGTTGTTTGAAGAAACTTGATCGGCCATGAAAGCCTCCCTCAAGTCCATGGGAAGCTTTTGTGGCGTGATTATGGACGATTGACCATCGAAGTTCATGGGTGTCAAGCCATGGAGCCTTTCCAGCTTTTGCCTTTGGAGCTTTTGAAGAGTTTGTTGTAGGGATTTTATGTGGGTCACTGCTTCATCCACAATTGTGGACTTGTCTGCCTGTACAAATATTCAATGTGAACTATCATATGGATGATGAGAAGGCAAAATTCAAACAAAATGGATGTGGGTAATTGTAGTTTCATCATTTTTTGAAATCAAATACCCATTAGTTAAGCTTTTAATTTAAAAAATACTACTATTACACAATTTTGAATGAACTTTTTATATAAAAAATTTGTTTGTATATTATTTTTTGTTTGAACTAGGCCTTAATGACCCTCTTCTTATGTCACAATAAAAATGTTAGAATAAAAAATGTATAAATTTAGTTTTTGAGTATGGTCAAAGCACCAAATTTAAATGTATCTCATTCAAATTTTGAAAATTTTCTAAGTACATGATATGCGTTATGTCCAAGACTCATGTGCTTATCCCAAAATTTCTTTTTTACTTTGGGAGAGTCATATATAATCGCATTAAACCATTTTTGTAAGACTAACATACACATGCACTTCCTTTTTAATAAAGTGAACAAAATCCACCAGTTATCGGTGTTCTAATAAATACCAGTTAATTGAAACTTTGTGTTGTGAGAGGAATATAAAGTTATCAATTTCTCTACATATGCATAGAAATTAATAACATAATTAGATACATTTTTTTTACATTAATTGCGCTAAAAGTTTGTGTTTGATCTTGTAATCAATTTTTCATAAAGTTGTAGGTCATCCACATTAAGAAACAAATGGAAATTGATGAGGCTTATGAAGTTACTTGAAAGGATTAATGAGAACATTTAGTTGAACTTGAACCCAAAAAAAAAAAACATAGCTTAATGAATCCATAACTTTGGGCTATTTTGAGAAGATGATTAAAAGCTGCTTTTTGACTTTTTTTGAATTTTTTGTGAAAGAGAGAAGTGGGTTAAAAGTTAGGAAGTGGCTTTTAACTTACTTCCCAAAATAGCCCTTCACTAATAACATTTCAATGATCGATAGTAATGAATAATTGATTTCAAGTGTCCCATCGTCACCCCATGACAACCTTAAATAGACTTGATGAAAAGGACATCCTCAAATAGTATCACATTGATGAAAAGGACTACTCTCTTACATCTTTCTCATTAATTGCCCTTTAAAGGAAACAAATTGAAAAACTTGAAAACTTTGTATGTGAAAAATGACTTGCCTTAATAAATTAACTTTGAGAAAGAGATCGGAGAGAGAGAGTGATGAGGCCTCGATCAAAAAGGTAGAAAAAAGAATGGTAGAATTGCTTCTTCTCTTTTTCTTTTTCTTTTTTTCTAAGAATACCGAAATTAATCACAAAATTGAACAATTTTTATAAGTTGTGTCTGATTCTGTTATTAGTTTTTATATTTCTAAACTTTTTCAAGATAGAATAACCTAGCATGAACAACTACTTAATTATCATTCCATATATACACATCAATCTCAATCTTGAAGAAGATGTGAATGAATTACCTTGGGAGGGAGATGAGGGAGCAAAGCATGAAGCTTAGAGAACATGTTCCTCATCTTCTTCCTTCTTTCTCTCGCTGTCCATATATGTATCTCATGATCTGACTCACCACCACCTTTTCCTTCGTTGGCCTCACCACCACGCCCTTTTCCATTATTGCCAACCCCACCTCGTTTCATTCCTGGTGCCACCGCTATCACCTCCTCCACTTCTTTTCCGGTTGGTGTCTGAGTATTAAACCTCGAATCAGGTGGCGGCTTCTCACCAGATTTTTCACCGATACAACCCAAACCATCCGAATTCGAAAAAGCACATGACTGAGTCTCCCAAAAGAAGTTCTCATGTCCACCACCCAGGTCAGACATGGTGGCTACTAGCTAGTAAGAGAAAGAGTCCGATACAAAGAGATAAAGAAGTAGAGAGACAGAGAGAGACTTACAAGGGGAAGAGAGGGGGTGAGGAGGCATTTAAAAAGGGGGTGGTGGCGATGGAAGGTCTTAGTGTGGTGGTAGAGAGATGGAGACAAGAAATTATTCTGTATTTTCCAAAAAAAAAGTTTATTGATAATACTTTCAATCAATAACAAGAGTTTAAATAATTATACGACTTTAAAATAAAAAAAAATAAATAGAGAAATAACTAAAAGTTGTTTTAAAAAGTTCTAAAAATTGATTTCTTTTATTTATAACAAAAAAAATATGTAAAAAATATATAAATAATGTAATTCAAATAAGTCCATGAACTTATTTTTTTTAACACTTCTCTTCCCCCCCCCCCTCTCAAAATCAAGTAATGGTGCTATGGTTCAGTTTTGGTTTTGTCGGTTTGTGAAATTATACAGTCAAATGACAATCTAATAACCATCTCCAACGGTGAACCAAACCTGGCATCAAATTTAAAATTTGGTGAAAAATCCACTTTTTTAAGCTCCAACGGTTTCATCAAATCGATATCAAATCCAGAATTCAGCAAAAATGGTACCAAACTGAGTGCAGGCGAAGCATTTCACCAAAGCACTGTTCCTAACTGTTGGGATGAGACGAACGGGTCGACCATCCGGTTGACCAACCGGTTAACCAACCGGTCGCCCCGAAGAAAGTTCAGACCGTTCACAAAAAGGTTCAAACGACTCAAAAAAAAAAAAAAAAAAAAAATTTTGCCTAGGTGGTCGACCACCCGGTCGACCGGCCGGTCGCCCACCCGGTCGACCACCAAAAGTTGAAAAAGTTCAAAAAAAAAAGGTTCAAACCGGTAAAAAAAAATATAAAAAAAAATAAAAATTTTGCCGTTACCGGTTGACCGGCCGGGCGACCGGCCGCAACCAACCGGTTGCCCAGCGCAAATTTGATGAAACGGATTTGATGTTGAACCGTTGGAGCGCGAAGTATCAAATTAAGGAAATGACCCTTTTTCGACTCAGATTTGGTGAAACATTTGGTACACCGTTGGAGATGCTCAAGATGCTATATAAGTGAAATTGTTTCACCAATTATTATATATGGTTAAGATTATGTTTTGTGATTGATTCTGTGTTTAGGCTTATTGTTATTCAAAAGCCTATATTTTTTATGAATGCAATGGAAGCCTTAACATATCAGCGTTAAAAAATAAAAAGGGCACCTTCAGTTGTGTTTTCAAACTTGTTTTTTGAAAAAAAAAAATTACAAATTAATTTGACAAAAATGAAAATAAATAATTATTTTTAAATTCTTAAATTTTTTTTTTCCAAACAGAAAGAAAGCACAAAAAAATAATGAATATTTTTTATTTTTTAAAATTTTAGTTAAAAAAATAAATCGTGAAAACTCAATCAAACAATTGTTGCAGTTTAAGCTTTCTACTCTATTGTTTTTTTTTCGATTCCCCCCACCCTGTGTCGACTGTGAAAAAAATCTTTTCAAGTTCAATTATTATTGACTCATTAAAAATTTGTTTAAAATTAATTTCTGATACACAAACATAAAAATTAAACGCATTTTAAAAGTTGTTAATTTTTGAAATTAGGCTCGAACTCATTATAAGCATTATTAAAAAATTTAAAATAAAATAAAACTAAACTACTTATACTCAACTGAATCAAAGTTGATTTGAAATCAACTTAAATAAATTTTTTAAAATTCAATAATTTTTAAAATCCCCAGTAGGTAGACATAGAAACAAACACATAATAATAGTGTTACCAAAAAAAAAAATTGAATAATAATATGTAAGGGTTGTCTTGAATGGTTGGTGGGTGTACTCCTCACACAATTATTCAAGGTTCAACTCTTGGGGCTAGACCAGGCCACAAGAAAGAACTTTCTTGTGAATTACTTAATCCTATCGTGGATGGCATGCCTTTAACCGAACCGGAGAAGAAATCAGTCGATGTGCACTACTTATCATTGAACATGTTGTTTAAATTGGGTAATTGAAACAAAATAAATAAATTCATGCTTTATTAAATTAACTAAAAGAACATCAAATAAAACCATACTTAATAAATTACATCATAGAGCATAAACATGAAACAAGACTAATATAAGAACATATTCAATCTGAATATGATAACAAAGAAATCAAACCAAATTTTGTGTGATACCACAGTGTCCTTAAAACAGATTAGCCGTCTCACCATGGGTGCTGGAGAAACGTCGACTTCTGTCTCCTAGGATAAGATGGTTTAAACCGACTAACTCAGAAGCACCTTCTGTTAGCTTTGGCGAACTGACAATGGCAACACTCTGTCATAGTAAGAAATTTCTAGCAAACTGACTAAAAAATGGAATAAACAATTTTCTGTGTTTGAGACTTGATAGGAGGGTCTCAATTTATACATGTATAGGGGAGAGAGGAGAAGCCTCCAGCCTTTATGGCTGATCACTAATGCACCATTAACCTTTGCAATAAAGGTAGGAGTTGCAAACCCCATTAATGCACTAGTAAACTCTACAATAAAAGCAGAAGTTACAAACCCCATTAACTCTTTCATGAAGCTAACTTCATGGGACAATTTCTCATTCAATTCTCAATGGTTTTTGGCTATTCTATTTATAGTGTAAAGATCTCATTGCAAAGTATCTAGACCCACTTAGACCTAACACAATAGATGGTTGAGACCCACTTTAATATTTAATTAAAATCACCAAAAAACCATTTTTTCCAACAATCCCCCACATGAATAAAAATTGACCGAATGACTCAACAAATGGACACTGTTCAACAAAGACTCGGAGAGAGAGCACACAGACTAACCCTGCATCAGAAAAGGTAGCTGTTAGCCTTAAACCTTTCGTAGTGACAACCTATCAGATTTACTGGCTAACTAGTGAACGTGATGTCTTAAACTGTTCTGCCGTTTGTGTAAACCGAAACAATAGACCTCACACAGGAGTTAGTCCAACCATTGTTCTTGTTCTCACTTGTGTGTTCGGTATGGCCTTAGAACACTAGCCTGGTTCAGTGAGTGGTTTTAAAGAATTCAGCCTTACCAACTCTTAAAGAAGCGACCCCACTTCGCACTCACATAGGTGACCTATATAAGGTATCTCATTTATACCCCGGTTGACTATCATATGACTTAGGTCATTAAAAGCATTAGCTTAACCTTTTATCCCCATCGGGTATCACTGTACAAAGGAATGGGCAAGAGGATTTACCTCTTCAATGACTCATCTATTACACGAAATTAGGTTGTCCCTTTGAACCTAGATCTTGGGATCTCCAGTCAACTACGTTGGGTTTTCCATTCCGGCAACATTACTAAAGGCCTTAACCCCATTCCTCTTGACGACGTTTCTACTAACTCTTGAGTTATCCCTTTGGTTAGCGGATCCGCAATGTTGTCTTTAGACTTTACATAGTCTAGAGAAACAATTCCATTATAGAGTAGTTGTCGTATAGAATTATGACTATAGCGGATATGTCTTGACTTTCCATTATACATATGACTCTATGCCCGTCCAATCGCCGATTGGCTATCACAATGAATACAAATAGCAGGCACAGGTTTCGGCCAACGTGGAATATTCTCAACGAACTGGCGAAGCCATTCAGCCTCTTCAGTTGCTTTATCCAACGCAACAAACTCAGATTCCATCGTTGATCTCGATATACACGTTTGCTTGGAAGATTTCCAAGACACGGTTGCCCGTCCGAGGGTAAACACATAACCATTAGTGGATTTGGAGTCTTTTATATCAGATATCCAGTTAGCATCACTATACCCTTCTAGTACTGCTAGGTATCTAGTATAATACAACCCATAATCCCAAGTGTAGCGTAGATAGCCTAACACCCGCATAATGTCTCTCCAATGAGTGACATTAGGATTACTCGTGTATCTACTAAGCCTGCTAACAGAGTAAGCTATATCCGGCCTTGTACAACTCATCAGATACATCAAACTTCCAATGACCCGAGAATATTCTAACTGAGAGACACTTTCACCATTATTCTTGGTCAAATGTAGACTCACGTCTACCGGTGTCCTAAACACACTTGTATCTGATTTACTAAATTTTTCAAGTATCTTCTCAACATAGTGAGACTAAGAAAGTACAATACCACTAGATGTTCTGGTAATCTTAATACCTAGAATGTCATCTGCAAGGCCCATATCTTTCATGTCAAACTTTGAGTTTAACAATCTCTTGGTAATTCGAACCATTTCATCATTACTACTAACAATGAGTATGTCGTCTACGTATAGACACAAAATGACATAACCTCTGTCAGTGTCTTTGACATATATGCACTTGTCACACTCATTGATTCTAAACCTATTTGACAACATAGCGTTGTCAAACTTCTCATGCCATTGCTTAGGCGCTTGTTTCAAACCATATAATGACTTGACAAGCTTACAGACTTTCTTATTTTTCCCTGGAGCTGAAAACCCCTCGAGTTGTTCCATGTAGATTTCTTCATCTAAATCTCCATTTAAGAAAGCTATCTTTACATCCATCTAATGTAACTCTAGACCATGTAAAGCGGCTATCGCAATCACCATGCGAATGGATGTAATTCTTGTCACAGGTGAATACGTATCAAAATAATCCAGACCTTCTCGCTGCCTATATCCTTTGATAACTAGTCTAGCTTTATATTTATCAATTGACCCATCAGCCTTCATCTTTCTTCTAAAGATCCACTTACTCCCCAAGGCCTTACTGCTTGGGGGTAGTTCAACCAACTCCCAAGTATGGTTCTGTAATATGGAATCAATTTCACTTTTAATAGCTTCTTTCCATAAGGGACTTTTTAGTGAAGTCACCGCTTCATGGAAAGTTCGAGATTCTCCCTCTAACATATAAGTCAAGAAGTCCGGGCCAAAGGACTTGGTAGTCCTAGCCCTCTTACTCCTTCTCGGCTTATCTACTTTCTCACCTTGATCATCTACTTGATTATCATCTTGATCATTATCTTCAAGTTCCTTCTCAGAACTTTGATCCTCTCCTCGAGTTCGGCAAGGAAATGTGTTTTCAAAGAAAGACGCATTCCTTGACTCCATTATGGTATTCTTGTGGATATTTGAAAATCCATTTTGAGAATCCTGGTTACAAAAGTTTAATGTTGTCTATATTTGTTGGGAGTTATTATGAGTTACATTGGCCTATTATAGTGGTCAGTTAACTAGTTATGGAGATTACACGTTGCACCGAGGTTACTAATGATATGTTCTACTAGCATTCACAAGTACATAGAACTTGATTTGTGTAATACTGAATTGCGATCTCTGCTCAATAGATTCTTTCATGCTTGATTACTATGCCTTCAATGACTCATCATGTCTGAATATTGCACTGTAGTGGCACATAAGTTAATTCTTGAGTGGTGTAGTGTGATTGATTGTTGTTGGATAGATGTGAATATGTTCATGTTTGTGGGTATTATTTCTGAAAATCCTCACGAGACTTTACTCGTCCACTTGGGATAACTTTGTGGTCTAAAGGCATGTTGCATACGCCAATACAACCGTTTTTTCTACGAAAGAGGAGATAGTTAGATTTTGTTTAAGTTTATTTTTCTTTCTTTATTCCTTGCTTGAGGACTAGCAAGTTGTAGGTTTGGGGATATGATTAAGGCCAAATCGTGCAACACTGAGGTCGTTAATTAGCATCTCTTAACTTTACTTGCTTGTCAAACTATACATTTTATATCTATTTAATGTCAATCTAGTTTGTACACAGTGGAAGCATAAAAATGAGCAAAAATGTAGAGAAAATTGCTTCCCGCACGTGCAGTCTTTACCTCGCAGCAAACAGGGCCCCAACTTTCCCGTAAGTGTGGAGGGTTTTTCTCGCACGTGCGGTGACATTTCCTGCATGTGCAACCGTACCTCAAAAAACATGTCCAATGTTTTAAACCTGTTGAAAAGAAGATGATGTATAAAAAGGCAACAAAAAGGTTGGATTAGGGTTCTGAAAAAAATTTCAAGGAAAGGAGAGGCTAGGGTTTGAAGAGAGGGGATTCTCAAGCTTCAAGAATGTCTCCCATCAGAGCATTTTCTCCCTCCACCTCTTCTCACGCCTCCATGAGTGGCTAGACTCTTCTTTTCTATGGTTTTGATGAAACCGTAGCCAAGTAAATATGTTTTCTTTTATATAATGGTTTGAACAATTGTATGGTTCTCAAGAAGTTTTTTAATATAATTTTTCATTATATTTTTGAGTATTCTGCTTTTCTGTAATTGTTGAATACTTTCCATGCAATAGTTTTCTATTCTTTCATGTTCAAGGTATGAGACGAGTCATACTACGAGAGACGAGTCATGTTGCTACCCTAATTTAGAGCGAATGACTCGTACTACTTTGAGATGGTTTGTGCCTATACATTAAACATGTTAATTCTCTTGATAAATGCTTCGAACTTGTAGTTGTGAAATATTATTTAGTTCGAACCGTCACATAATTGAGTCTCAAATTGAAGCCTTATTTATGTAATTAATAGTGAATTCATTACCCTAGGTTTTTCTCAAAATTAGTAAATTTCAATTTCACTTTTAATTGCTCAGTTTAATCTCTTTATTTAATTTAATTGTCATTAGGTTATGAACAACTATCTTTTTCATCAAAATTAATTTAGGAATTTAACAATTAAATTAGTTTAATTTCTCGTTTGTTCCTGTGAATCGATACCTGGACTTACCATTATTCTAAGGAATTTGGTATAATTTAGTGTTTATATTTGGTGTATGAAACGACCCATCAATGTGTAAGATTATTATGACAAAACAAACACCATTTTAATAAAACGTGACTCACCCAAGATGAATGTAGTGTTGGGAGTACTAAAAAAAAAACCGATAAACTATACAAGGTCTAAGGTCTTGAATATGTACGCCAAGTAGTTGATGAGTCCCAAGATTATGATTTCGAATCTTTTTTTTACAATGAGTTTGGTCATGTAAATATAAATCATTCAGATACCTCTCATTTGTAAATTGATTTTTAAATATGAGTTCTATTCTATAATTTTTATCTTATGGTATTAGAGCTAGCCGCAACGTCTTACGCCAAGTAGTTGATGAGTCCCAAGATTATGATTTCGAATCTTTTTTTTACAATGAGTTTGGTCATGTAAATATAAATCATTCAGATACCTCTCATTTGTAAATTGATTTTTAAATATGAGTTCTATTCTATAATTTTTATCTTATGGTATTAGAGCTAGCCGCAACGTCTTACGCCAAGTAGTTGATGAGTCCCAAGATTATGATTTCGAATCTTTTTTTTACAATGAGTTTGGTCATGTAAATATAAATCATTCAGATACCTCTCATTTGTAAATTGATTTTTAAATATGAGTTCTATTCTATAATTTTTATCTTATGGTATTAGAGCTAGCCGCAACGTCTTACGCCAAGTAGTTGATGAGTCCCAAGATTATGATTTCGAATCTTTTTTTTACAATGAGTTTGGTCATGTAAATATAAATCATTCAGATACCTCTCATTTGTAAATTGATTTTTAAATATGAGTTCTATTCTATAATTTTTATCTTATGGTATTAGAGCTAGCCGCAACGTCTTACGCCAAGTAGTTGATGAGTCCCAAGATTATGATTTCGAATCTTTTTTTTACAATGAGTTTGGTCATGTAAATATAAATCATTCAGATACCTCTCATTTGTAAATTGATTTTTAAATATGAGTTCTATTCTATAATTTTTATCTTATGGTATTAGAGCTAGCCGCAACGTCTTACGCCAAGTAGTTGATGAGTCCCAAGATTATGATTTCGAATCTTTTTTTTACAATGAGTTTGGTCATGTAAATATAAATCATTCAGATACCTCTCATTTGTAAATTGATTTTTAAATATGAGTTCTATTCTATAATTTTTATCTTATGGTATTAGAGCTAGCCGCAACGTCTTACGCCAAGTAGTTGATGAGTCCCAAGATTATGATTTCGAATCTTTTTTTTACAATGAGTTTGGTCATATAAATATAAATCATTCAGATACCTCTCATTTGTAAATTGATTTTTAAATATGAGTTCTATTCTATAATTTTTATCTTATGGTATTAGAGCTAGCCGCAACGTCTTACGCCAAGTAGTTGATGAGTCCCAAGATTATGATTTCGAATCTTTTTTTTACAATGAGTTTGGTCATATAAATATAAATCATTCAGATACCTCTCATTTGTAAATTGATTTTTAAATATGAGTTCTATTCTATAATTTTTATCTTATGGTATTAGAGCTAGCCGCAACGTCTTACGCCAAGTAGTTGATGAGTCCCAAGATTATGATTTCGAATCTTTTTTTTACAATGAGTTTGGTCATATAAATATAAATCATTCAGATACCTCTCATTTGTAAATTGATTTTTAAATATGAGTTCTATTCTATAATTTTTATCTTATGGTATTAGAGCTAGCCGCAACGTCTTACGCCAAGTAGTTGATGAGTCCCAAGATTATGATTTCGAATCTTTTTTTTACAATGAGTTTGGTCATATAAATATAAATCATTCAGATACCTCTCATTTGTAAATTGATTTTTAAATATGAGTTCTATTCTATAATTTTTATCTTATGGTATTAGAGCTAGCCGCAACGTCTTACGCCAAGTAGTTGATGAGTCCCAAGATTATGATTTCGAATCTTTTTTTTACAATGAGTTTGGTCATATAAATATAAATCATTCAGATACCTCTCATTTGTAAATTGATTTTTAAATATGAGTTCTATTCTATAATTTTTATCTTATGGTATTAGAGCTAGCCGCAACGTCTTACGCCAAGTAGTTGATGAGTCCCAAGATTATGATTTCGAATCTTTTTTTTACAATGAGTTTGGTCTGATTCTAAACCTATTTGACAACATAGCGTTGTCAAACTTCTCATGCCATTGCTTAGGCGCTTGTTTCAAACCATATAATGACTTGACAAGCTTACAGACTTTCTTATTTTTCCCTGGAGCTGAAAACCCCTCGAGTTGTTCCATGTAGATTTCTTCATCTAAATCTTCATTCAAGAAAGCTATCTTTACATCCATCTGATGTAACTCTAGACCATGTAAAGTGGCTATCGCAATCACCATGTGAATGGATGTAATTTTTGTCACAGGTGAATACGTATCAAAGTAATCCAGGCCTTCTCGTTGCCTATATCCTTTGACAACTAGTCTAGCTTTATATTTATTAATTGACCCATCAGCCGTCATCTTTCTTCTAAAGATCCACTTACTCCCCAAGGCCTTACTGCTTGGGGGTAGTTCAACCAACTCCCAAGTATGGTTCTGTAATATGGAATCAATTTCACTTTTAATAGCTTCTTTCCATAAGGGACTTTTTAGTGAAGTCACCGCTTCATGGAAAGTTCGAGATTCTCCCTCTAACATATAAGTCAAGAAGTCCGGGCCAAAGGACTTGGTAGTCCTAGCCCTCTTACTCCTTCTTGGCTTATCTACTTTCTCATCTTGATCATCTACTTGATCATCATCTTGATCATTATCTTCAAGTTTCTTCTCAGAACTTTGATCCTCTCCTCAGGTTCGACAAGGAAATGGGTTTTCAAAGAAAGACGCATTCCTTGACTCCATTATGGTATTCTTGTGGATATTTGAAAATCCATTTTGAGAATCCTGGTTACAAAAGTTTAATGTTGTCTATATTTGTTGGGAGTTATTATGAGTTATATTGGCCTATTATAGTGGTCAGTTAACTAGTTATGGAGATTGCACGTTACACCGAGGTTACTGATGATATGTTCTACTAGCATTCACAAGTACATAGAACTTGATTTGTGTAATACTGAATTGCGATATCTGCTCAATAGATTCTTTCATGCTTGATTACTATGCCTTCAATGACTCATCATGTCTGAATATTGCACTGTAGTGGCACATAAGTTAATTCTTGAGTGGTGTAGTGTGATTGATTGTTGTTGGATAGATGTGAATATGTTCATGTTTGTGGGTATTATTTCTGAAAATCCTCACGAGACTTTACTCGTCCACTTGGGATAACTTTGTGGTCTAAAGGCATGTTGCATACGCCAATACAACCGTTTTTTCTACGAAAGAGGAGATAGTTAGATTTTGTTTAAGTTTATTTTTCTTTCTTTATTCCTTGCTTGAGGACTAGCAAGTTGTAGGTTTGGGGATATGATTAAGGCCAAATTGTGTAACACTGAGGTCGTTAATTAGTTTCCCTTAACTTTACTTGCTTGTCAAACTATACATTTTATATCTATTTAATGGCAATCCAGTTTGTACACAGTGGAAGCATAAAAATGAGCAAAAATGTAGAGAAAATTGCTTCCCGCACGTGCAGTCTTTACCTCGCAGCAAACAGGGCCCCAACTTTCCCGTAAGTGTGGAGGGTTTTTCTCGCACGTGCGGTGACATTTCCTGCATGTGCAACCGTACCTCAAAAAACATGTCCAATGTTTTAAACCTGTTGAAAAGAAGATGATGTATAAAAAGGCAACAAAAAGGTTGGATTAGGGTTCTGAAAAAAATTTCAAGGAAAGGAGAGGCTAGGGTTTGAAGAGAGGGGATTCTCAAGCTTCAAGAATGTCTCCCATCAGAGCATTTTCTCCCTCCACCTCTTCTCACGCCTCCATGAGTGGCTAGACTCTTCTTTTCTATGGTTTTGATGAAACCGTAGCCAAGTAAATATGTTTTCTTTTATATAATGGTTTAAACAATTGTATGGTTCTCAAGAAGTTTTTTAATATAATTTTTCATTATATTTTTGAGTATTTTACTTTCTGTGATTGTTGAATACTTTCCATACAATAGTTTTTTATTCTTTCATGTTTAAGGTATGAGACGAGTCATACTACGAGAGACGAGTCATGTTGCTACCCTAATTTAGAGCGAATGACTCGTACTACTTTGAGATGGTTTGTGCATATACATTAAACATGTTAATTCTCTTGATAAATGCTTCGAACTTGTAGTTGCGAAGTATTATTTAGTTCGAACCGTCACATAATTGAGTCTCAAATTGAAGCCTTATTTATGTAATTAATAGTGAATTCATTACCCTAGGTTTTTCTCAAAATCAGTAAATTTCAATTTTACTTTTAATTGCTCAGTTTAATCTCTTTATTTAATTTAATTATCATTAGGTTATGAACAACCATCTTTTTCATCAAAATTAATTTAGGAATTTAACAATTAAATTAGTTTAATTTCTCGTTTGTCCCTGTGGATCGATACCTAGACTTACCATTATTCTAAAGAATTTGGTATAGTTTAGTGTTTATATTTGGTGTGTGAAATGACCCATCAATGTCCAAGATTATTATGACAAAACAAACACCATTTTAATAAAACGTGACTCACCCAAGATGAATGTAGTGTTGGGAGTATTAAAAAAAAACCGATAAACTATACAAGGTCTAAGGTCTTGAATATAAACGCAAGTAGTTGATGAGTCCCAAGATTATGATTTCGAATCTTTTTTTTACAATGAGTTTGGTCATATAAATATAAATCATTCAGATACCTCTCATTTGTAAATTGATTTTTAAATATGAGTTCTATTCTATAATTTTTATCTTATGGTATTAGAGCTAGCCGCAACGTCTTACGCCAAGTAGTTGATGAGTCCCAAGATTATGATTTCGAATCTTTTTTGTCTCGTTTAAGAACAGACAAATTTAGTAATTTTTTAGTTATTTGACTAAAATATGAGCTAAAAAAATTAGTATGTTTGGGATGGCTTTTTGATTTTTTACGAAAAGGTGTGCAAAAAGTAGAGAGAAAAGAGAATCTTTGACTTTTTGGTATGGGTTGTTGGCTTTTTGGCTAATTTAATAACTTTTTGACTTTTTGACTAAAAATAAGAGTTCCCAAACGAGGCCTTTTTTACAATGAGTTTGGTCATATAAATATAAATCATTCAGATACCTCTCATTTGTAAATTGATTTTTAAATATGAGTTCTATTCTATAATTTTTATCTTATGGTATTAGAGGTAGCCACAACGTCTTAACCTTTTTTGAGAGAGTTTGGTAAAAAAATCTTACTTTCACCAGGAAAATCGAAACCTTTCTTAACCTTTTTTTTTGCCAATCCCAAACAGGACTTTCCATGCATGTACAACTGAGGTTTAGTTTTTGAACTCCACTCTCTGATATAATAATGATGATATAGGTTGAGTGAAAAGTCATGTGATGAGCTCTCTCTCACCTCAAGATAGATATCTGTGTAGTTTAGAATGAGTATGGTTTGGTTTAGGAGTAAATTAAGCATTAAATTGTTATTTGTGGTTTTAAATAATTTAGAATCAACTTAAATCATAAAAGTCTTAGAATCAAATTAGAATGAATAAGTAAAATGCAGTTCGAACCTTATCACCAGATACAATATAATCACAAAATATTACTTACAACTTACTCAAGCGTTAAACAATGTCATTATTTTATAAACAATAATGATTAAAATAATTGTTTAGAATTAGCTTTACTATTATAGCTTATTTTGTCAATTAAGTTAAAAATCAGCTTTTGACTTTTTTAAGTCACATTGCCATTCTATTTTTTTATATGTTTTTTTTGAAAAAAAAGAAGTCAAAAAAATAAAAAATAAAAAATAAACTATTAACTTACTTTCCAAAACAAGCCTATATAAGAACACGCTTGCCATGACATGCTAATCAAGTACTTAATATTTACAATAAATAACAAGTTTTGTTATATGTATATATTAATATGGTCAAGTTTGGTTTCAAATGATTCCGTAACTATTAAATTATAGACAGGTCAAGACCAAACCGTGCATTGAAGAAACAAAACCAAATCGTGCAATTTGGTTTGGATTAGACCTTTTTCAAATTTTTTAATAAATTATTATTTTAATATATATTTCCTTTTTTTCTTTTTTTGGAGCAATAATCTTTTTTGTGATTATTTGTGTCAAACTAGTCTGAATTTTTTTTTTTTTTAAATTTAAATTTTGAAAATCTCTCCTCTCAAATCGAAAGAGTTTTTTTGGGTAAATAAATCAAAAAAGTTACTTAGCGTGATCTAGGGATTTAATGATTGATAACGCCTAGATCTTCTATATGTTTTAAAATAAAATAAATATAAGAAAGAAAAAAGGAGGGGGAGGGGGTGATTATGATGATATGTATACAAGCGTTATTTGGCTTTTTGTATTCAATTAAAATCATTAGTTTTGTTGTCGTGACGTGACATATTAGTTTTGTGTTGTCTTTAGTTTTGAGTTCCATACAAATAGTTAAAGATAGTTTGAAATAATTTAATTAAGGCCTCGTTTGGGATGCTACCTTTTTAGCCAATTAGTCAAAAAGTTACTAAATTAGCCAATTAGCCAATTAGCCAATTAGTCATACTAAAAAGTCAACAATTACGGCTTCTCTCTACTTTTTACACAGCTTTTCACAATTAGTCAAAAAGTCATCCCAAACATACAAGTTTTTTTTACCTACCTTTTTAGCCAATTAGCCAAAAAATTACTAAATTAGCCTGTTCCCAAACAAGATCTAAGTGTATTTTTTTATTTTTTATAAAAAAAATATGTAAAAAAATAAAATAGTGATATGATTTAAATAAGTGTACCTATTTAGAGAATACAAACAAACTCTTATACTGTGCCGTTTATCTAATCTATAACCTATATAAAAGAGTGTAAGAATAGTATAACGCGGTCTAACGCTCCTGCTTGCCTCTGCTTGCTTTCTAACGTTTTCCAAGAGACCTGTGTTGGATATAAAAAGTGTATAAGCTTGGTATAATGCTCCTACGAAGCGGTGGAAATTGAAGAAAAGTTGAGCTTATACATACACACATGTGCAGTGAAAAGACTGCAACTCTCAACCTGCGAAGCGGTGGAAATTGATTTCTCCTAGAAGATTCATTTGTTCGGTGCACCGCTCGGATAACAATTGATTACAAAGCCATGTCTATATATATATATAGATAGATATGTGTGTATACCCTCTTGGTTGAAAGAAAATTTCATTTAAACGCAGCTACTCCTCTGCACCGTTCTAACGCTTGAGCATTCTCAATTATCTCAATTGCCCCTGATGTTGCTCGTGGATGAGTCCAAGGCGAAGCTGGTCATCCATGATGTTGCAACCCTCAGTATGAACAGATGTGCTGTCTTTACACTGTACTATCCACGTGGTTGTAGAGACCTACTTCATCTTCCAACCGATCGATCAACCAACCAACCGGAAGCCACCTTCTCTACCTCCTAGAATTTCCTTGTTCAGTGCCATAGCTATGGATGTGTCATATTTGAATCATCCGTCATTGCTCCAACTGTGGACCATCAAGAGAGGAAATCACCGAGGTACAACGCGTGTTGCCGATTGACGATTTCCTTCCTCAAAACTACTACTAAGCTGCTCGTCCATGGCGGTGTGACTGGCTCTGTTCTGGTGGCGTCAATTCCATGTGCTTAATGACAAAGCCTGTAAAAATCAGTTGGTTGAAGTCGGTATCCAAAATCGTTCCCTTAACCACAGTGTATGCAATTTTCTCTTTGTTATATTCGTCCAATCTGTTACTTTGCATATTGGTAGAGTTTTGCATGCTATGTTCTTTTGCCGTTTTTGTGTAGTTGAATTTTTGTGCGTGGAACACTTTGCACAACATCTGTTTGACAATATCCTCATAAGAGCAACAAAAATTAGTGTATAAATTTTTTGTGTGTGATTGAGCTACCCATTAGAACTACTTGATATTCTAATTTGACTCTTAAGAGTATTAATATAGACTGAAGATGTGACATGCTAATATCGATTTTAAGATTATCATAGCAGCATACACAAGAGCCAATATTATGGAATAGTTTTTGCTAAATAAAGTATAAAATTTAACTTGTAAAAATGCAAGAAGAGTAAAAATATTTCACTGATATTTTGTAGTAGTTTGTTCAATTTTATTGTGCTATCATAACATGAGATTCTATTTAATGTTTGTGGTGATTTTTTCTTCTTTGTGTGTGTGTGTAGTAGTAGTAGTAGTGGTAGTAGTAGTTTCTTTTTTGTTTTTTTATTTTGTGGTTCACTATGTTCATTATCCATTTAGCATTTTAGGCAATTTGTTTGAGGGGCACAGTTGGCCATCTTCGACCATGCCATGAGACGCCTGCTGATAGAGCAATATTAAAAGATACTTTCCAGGTACTTTATTCAATTTGATGATCAAGTCCTAAACATATTGAGGAATTCTATTTTTTTGGTTTTGATACGTGAAAAAAGGTTTGATTATCTTTGAATTTCTATGGAAGTTCTCGATTTATTTGTGCTAATTTCAAAGAATTGAAGAGAATTTTTTTTTTTTAATTTTAAATTTGTATAATCAAATGGTTGGTTGTATTTATTGAATGTTTGAGGGTTATTTATCTATAGGATTGGAAGACTGAAAGATATAAGGAAATTATCAAATCTGGAACTGTAAGTACGAAGTTGTTTATTCTTCATTTATGATTACTTGTTAGTTCATTTATGTGGGTGATTTTCAACAGAGGAACAAAAAAACAAAACACCAGCAACTTGGAGCATTGGAAGTTTTTTTTCTCTGATGACTGTCCTACTTTACCTGAGAGTTCCAAGGAGGCGGTGGATAGCAGACGGTGTGGTTTGTTGTGTTCCTCAAACAATGATGCCATGAACAAGTATTCTCATTCCCTTCTAATTTGAGAAAATCCATGTTTAATAGTGTAGAGCTTGTATGAACTTCTTGTTGGTTCATTGTAGCTTTACGAGTCTAATCATGGTAGCACCATAATGGCTAGCTTGATTTGAGGTCCATGTGAAGTTCTTTTATTGAAGAAAGAGAGAGAAGATCACATTTGGAGACTGGGGCAAATGATCAACCACTTTTCTGTGTAAGTGCGTTTCCTTGTTTCTCAAATATGTTCCTTTGTATCTCTATTGTTGCATACAATTTCCTTTTCTATGAAATTTGCATGGTTTAGAGAAACCTCCTGTGCATGTTTACGGTTTGTGTTTTTGCATTGCACTTTTGTTTGGTCTTCTTCTTATGGTTCAAGAGTGTGTTTATCATTTATTTTTAATTATCTTCGGTCAGGCAGAGATCATGGTGTACATCATTTTGGCAAGTCACAAATCATGGTGTACATCAAAAGTTGTAATAGATAAGAAGCATTCTTAGTCTGATCTGACTTTTTTAAGGTTCTTATATTATCACTCTAGATTATCCATTGTAATATTTTATTGTTACTCATTGCTTAATCATTTGGCTGCACAGTTTTGCCATTCATGTTAAATATTCTATTTGTATTCTTCATTTGCTTTTGATTGGGTTGGAGACAGTTATCAAATTTTACACAATCATGAATTGGCCATGTTGTTTTGCAGGCAAAGAACCGTTGGTCATCATTCACACTACAGCAAATGTGGCATGGTTTGACAAGAATTTTGCGTAGATTTTTTTTTTTTGTATATGAGGTATTGTTACCAAATATGCTTGATTATAAGATAATAAAATAGTTTTTTTAATAAATTTACTTTATTAAGTTTAATGAATAATTTCTAAATCAAATATATATATAAAATGCAAGAAGGTAGGCTAGATCTCTATTAAACATATAATCGTGAATTTTCTTTGTCCATATTTAATTGCTTAACCATGAATTACCCTTCATCTGTTCCTTTTTTGTATTTCCTTAATCAAGATTTCCTGGGTTGATTTTTATATTATTTTTGTAGTGGGAGAATGTATATTTGCTTTGCAAAAAACACTGCACAAGTGGAGTAGCAGATGCAAAGAGTTACTTAGCGTGATCTAGGGGCTTAATGATTGATAACGCCTAGACCTTCTACATGTTTTAAAATAAAATAAATTTAAGAAAAAGAAAAAGGGGGGGTGATTATGATGATACGTATACAAGCATTATTTGGCTTTTTGTATTCAATTAAAATCATTAGTTTTGTTGTCATGACGTGACACATTAGTTTTGCGTTGTCTTTAATTTTGAGTAGATTTTTTTGCATTGTCTTTAATTTTAATTTTGAGTAGATTTTTTGTATATGAGCTACTGTTACCAAATATGCTTGATTATAAGATAATAAAATAGTTTTTTTAATAAATTTACATTATTAAGTTTAATGAATAATTTATGAATCAAATATATATATTAAATGCAAGAAGGTAGGCTAGATCTCTATCAAACATATAATCGTGAATTTTCTTTGTCCATATTTAATTGCTTAACCATGAATTACCCTTCATCTGTTCGTTTTTTGTATTTCCTTAATCAAGATTTCTTGGGTTGATTTTTATATTATTTTTGTAGTGGGAGAATGTATATTTGCTTTGCAAAAAACACTGCACAAGTGGAGTAGCAGATGCAAAGAGTTACTTAGCGTGATCTAGGGGCTTAATGATTGATAACGCCTAGACCTTCTACATGTTTTAAAATAAAATAAATTTAAGGAAAAAAAAGGGGGGGTGATTATGATGATACGTATACAAGCGTTATTTGGCTTTTTGTATTCAATTAAAATCATTAGTTTTGTTGTCGTGACGTGACACATTAGTTTTGCGTTGTCTTTAATTTTGAGTAGATTTTTTTGCGTTGTCTTTAATTTTGAGTAGATTTTTTTGCGTTGTCTTTAATTTTGAGTAGATTTTTTTGCGTTGTCTTTAATTTTGAGTAGATTTTTTTGCGTTGTCTTTAATTTTGAGTAGATTTTTTTGCGTTGTCTTTAATTTTGAGTAGATTTTTTTGCGTTGTCTTTAATTTTGAGTAGATTTTTTTGCGTTGTCTTTAATTTTGAGTAGATTTTTTTGCGTTGTCTTTAATTTTGAGTAGATTTTTTTGCGTTGTCTTTAATTTTGAGTAGATTTTTTTGCGTTGTCTTTAATTTTGAGTAGATTTTTTTGCGTTGTCTTTAATTTTGAGTAGATTTTTTTGCGTTGTCTTTAATTTTGAGTAGATTTTTTTGCGTTGTCTTTAATTTTGAGTAGATTTTTTTGCGTTGTCTTTAATTTTGAGTAGATTTTTTTGCGTTGTCTTTAATTTTGAGTAGATTTTTTTGCGTTGTCTTTAATTTTGAGTAGATTTTTTTGCGTTGTTGTTGGTCACGGTAGGTAGTAAACAAGGCAGCATCCTCAGTATGAGGCCATGGAGGCTCAGAAAGAGCGAGTTGATCCCAAACATAATACATTTGGGAGAGGAAATCATTAATAGTCTGAGTTGGCTTTTGGCTCATAGGAGTGAGTAAGCAGAATTGGAAGAGGGAGGAAAACATTTGTGTTCCCAAAAAATCACATGACGAGAGATACAGAGGCGCTGGGAGATAGGATCCCAACAGCAATGCTCTTTTATGTTCAATACCATACCCCAAGAAGCAACAAAGGCGAGAACGAGGTTCAAGTTTGGTACGTTCATGAGGTTGGAGAAGAACAAAACAGGCAGAGCCAAAAACCCTAAGGGTGTCGTAAGGGGGACGGGTGCCATGTAAACGCTCATATGGAGTGTGATTATGAATGACCGGTGTAGGGATACAATTGATAGTGTAAGCAGCAGTGAGAGCGGCTTCACCCCAAAAATTTTCTGGACAAGAGGAAGAGAGAAGGAGGGCTCGAGTAGTGTCAAGTAGATGCCGATGTTTTCGTTCAGCACGGCCATTTTGTTGGGACGTACCTGGACAGGAACGATGAGGTTGAGTACCATGACTCCTAAGGAAGGAAAGAAAGTCAAAATCTTTATATTCCATGGCATTGTCGGAGCGAAAAATCTTGATAGTTTTAGAAAATTGGGTTTTAACCATTGCAGCAAAATTGTAATAAAGTTGTTTGAGTTCAGAGCGATTTTTCATAAGAAACAACCATGTAAAACGAGAAAAATCATCTATAAAAACAACAAAATAACGTGCGCCTCCCATAGTAGGAGTAGGAGAGGGTCCCCAAATATCAGAATGAATGAGATCAAAGGGCGCAAGAGAAACAGAATTACTTTTATTAAACGACAAAGCAGGTTGTTTTGCAAGTTGACAGGACACACAATTGAAAGCATCAGAACTTACAGTACCCAAATGACCACTAGAAATTAAAGACTTCAAACGACCAACAGAAAGATGGCCCAAACGATAGTGCCAAAGCTGAAAATGAGATAAAGGAGGAGCAGTGGTAGTAGTGGTAGTAGTGGTAGGAGCAGTGATTTGAGAGGAATCCGGAACATGAAGATGGATAAGTTCGTAGAGACGTCCTTGCTTACGGCCTATCCCAAGAGTTTGCCTGGTCCGAGGGTCCTGCACCAAACAACCAGTATGGGAAAAGGTTACAGTTAGACCATGCTCACATAATTGACTAATGGAGATAAGATTTAAAGTGAGAGCAGGCATAAGATATACATGGGATAAAGATAAGTGAGAGGTGGAAACAGACCCAACATGACTTACAGACAGGAGAGACCCATCAGCAGTATGGATAGAAGGAACATGAGGAGTCGAAGAGAGAGGAGTAAAAATAGTAGGATCAAAGGTCATGTGATTACAACAAGCGGAGTCAAAGTACCAGGAAGTGTTACCTGCGGTGGTAGACAAAGCAGTAGATGGAGGAGTACCGGAATGCTGCCAAAAATGTTGAAACATGGCTTCAACATCGGTATGAGAGAAGACTGGAGTGGAAGGATCTACAGGGACAGAAGAAGGTGAATCTTCAGAGGCGGCAGCAGCAGTGCGTGAAGCAGGCATGTTTTTAAATGGAGTCCCAGAACGGTGAGAGTTGCTGCAGGAAAAATTCCCGGTGGAAGGACCATGGCGAGAGGCACGGGTAGGATTGCGGAAGCAATCTTGTTGGAGATGACCGGGGCCAGTCTTGTTGTAAAATCGACAAAGACGAACGGGACAATGAACCAGAAGATGAGTCGATGGAAGATTGCGGTTGTGACAATAGTTGCAGGTAGTGGATCGCTGTGGTGAAGGAGAACTCCAAATCTGGGGAGTAGCAAGAACAGAGTCCACAGGGTGTGGATGGAGAGTACCAAACCTGGTTTCCTCGGACAGGAGTTCAGAAACGGCTTGCTCAAGAGTGGGTAAAGGAGTGCGATGTAGGAGAGATGCGCGAACGGGCTCAAAACGAGGAGTGAGAGCCATGAGAAACTGAACCAAGCGCTGTTGGTCACGGTAGGTAGTAAACAAGGCAGCATCCTCAGTATGAGGCCATGGAGGCTCAGAAAGAGCGAGTTGATCCCAAACATAATACATTTGGGAGAGGAAATCATTAATGGTCTTTGTACTGCTGATATTGGTGAGCAAGATCGGTAGTCTGATAGCGTTCTTGCAAAAAATCCCAGATGGCCTTGGCTGGAGAGGAAGCAGACTCAAGTTGGAACCTACCAAACTGAAGGCTGATGGATGTAATAGAAATATTGCGAAGCCAGGTGATGATCTGATAGTTTTTACTATCCCAATCTTCTAGTCGGTTGATATATTTGGCAGCAGAGTCCGTGGCAGCGGATTTCGTGGTTGCTGGGACTGGTTTGCACACATCCCCAGTAATGATACGCCAAAGTTTCTTGCCTTTGAGGAAGCCAGACATGGCTTGTGCCCAAAGGACATAATTAGTCCCGTCAAGAATAACGGAAATAGGGTGATTAGAGGAATCCGGGCGATCCATGAGGGAAAAAATAGCACAATGGTGGTAGAATCTGAAAAAACCGAGGTTACCAGTGAATTCAGAAGGCCGAAATTAGTGGGAAAAGGAGTAAAACGACCCAAAATATGACCACAGAGGCACAAAAATGAGAGGCAAAGGGGCGCGGCGCACGTTAGCAAGAAAGGGCGCGGCGCACGTTAGCAAAACAGGCCAGGCAGTGCACGGTAGCAGAGAGGCTGACGTGTGCTGACGTCAGAAACACGCGGCGCACGTTATCACAGAAGTGGCGCGTGAGAGCGCGTGTGACGTCGTATTGGGCTGAAATTGGTGGCGTTGGAATCGTCCGGAGGAGACGAAGGCTCTGGTGTGGTGAAAACTGTATTTCAGAGATGGACGAAAAAGGGATACAGATGAAATGCAATCTGTAGAAAAAAAAAATATGTTGGCAGAAGAGGCTAGGTAGAAAACCTGTGCTCTGATACCATATAAGAAATTGAGAGAGATTGAGAGAGCAAATATTAGCTCTATGTTTTTGATGTATATTGCAACCAAATGGAACCTCCATTATATAGGAGATGTTTTACAAGACAAAATGATGAACAAAGGAAATATACAAATGAAAGGCCACCGAAAGATAGCTGAAAGCAAAAGGAAAAGAAGGCGTCTATCTGTGCTAGGCTAGCAACAACTATCTATACAGATATTTAATATAATCTATTAAATATACTATCTACTATTAGCAGCTGTAGATCTATACAGATTAATATAGTATTAACTTATAACATATTATAGGTGTAGTATTAACAATGATGATACCTATACAAATGTTATTTGCCTTTTTGTATTCAATTAAAATCATTAGTTATTTAGAGGATACAAACGAACTCTTATACTGTGCCGTTGATCTAATCTATAGCCTATATAAAAGAGTGTAAGAATAGTATAACGCGGTCTAACGCTCCTGCTTGCCTCTGCTTGCTTTCTAACGTTTTCCAAGAGACCTGTGTTGGATATAAAAAGTGTATAAGC